CAGGAATGGGGGAAATTTACTATGTAGTACAGAAGGGTGGACCAGACATGTGAGGGTCATGGGAGGGGGGCTGCCACACGTTTATCATAATATCTGGCTTGGCTTAACTGTTTACCTGGCAAAATTAAGATGCTAAAAATGTTCCTGGGGGTTCTTGAAAGAGATAATCACACCTTACTTTCCTTTCCTTTCTTGCCCTTTGTCCTATTTCCTTTTCTAATTTAATAAAAATAGAAGGATTAAGCAAATTGTGATTCCAAATTTGAAGTATTTTTGTGTTATATGAATAAACAGTTTTCTAACTACATTGTTGTCTAAGACCATGTTGGATTCTTCAAGTGTGAACCAATGCTATTTGGAAAGATTTTTTAAATTAATGGTCTTTAAATATACTTTACCGTGAACAATATTTTTATGAATGCAAATATACTTCGTTATTAGGAAATTAAAACTGTACAAAACTGTAATTCACACTACATCTCATAATGTCTCAATGTTTCATCTCAATTTCTTTCTGTTTTTAGAATGTAATTTTAATAGCCAAGAGAAAAAAAATCAGTTTTGCAAAGAGTTTGGACCCAGTAACAGAGACAGAATGTCTTAATCAACACAGTTAGCATGCTTTATAAGCTGATGCATTATGAGAAATACGTTTTCTTTACAACATCTGCTGCATTACATGAAAAGCAAACTTTTGTGATATATACCAGTTTACTTCTTTAAAAATTTGGTTTGGACCAAATTTTGCCCTCAGTTAGGCCAGCGCAGTTCCCAACAAAAGCTGAGCCAAAGAAGGATTTGCTACATGTTTGTAACCAAGGGCAGAATTTAGCCTTTTCTGCATTACAATGAAAGAAAATCCTTTAGTGGATAAATAATGAAGAAAATAATCTACAAAACAAACAAGCAAGCATTAAAATATAATTAAGTACAAAAAACCAAAAAACAAAAGCCAGAGCCACTTACAGGGCTTGATGGAGTCTTTGGCCAGCCTGGGCTGCCAATGCTATCACTTTCATCTCCATGAAATGAGGAGATGCTAGCAGAACTTGGGGACATTGGGGAAGGGACTGGCAGGTTGCCTGGGGTTGGGGGCTGAGAAATACCCTGAGAGCTGTAGCTATCCTGTGGTAGAGGAATAAAAAAAAAGGACAAAGGCAGGGCAAACTTTATTAAAAACGAAAAAAATACATCCAGTTTAACAGACTGACCAATTTTTTTTTAACTGTATAAAGATTAAACAGAGAAAGACACACAGAGAAAAAACATACACATATAAATATATAATAGTATTAAAACAACATTGTTAATATAATTTGGAAAGTTTGCTGGATGCTTGGCTATGCCACCATGCTTCCCTCAAGCTAAAATGGAGTGTCAAGCATGGGTTTCCCCTTATGAGATAAAAGGAAAAAAGAAAAAAAAAAGCTGTTCACCTTATTTGTATCAAATAAGGCAGGAAAGCAAAATATTAAAGTATGCTGCTGCTGAAACGGCCAAAACAGGAAGCTATAACTGAAGTAGAGAAAAATGGTTGGAAGTATCAAGACCAAGGTAAGATCAATTTTTCCCACCCAGCAGCTTAGCGGAACTCCCACGCACATTTCTGCTTAGATTCCTTTGCCCCCGTGAGTTAAATGCCATAAGAACTAGTAACTTTCAGATCCATACAATGAAGGGAAGAAAAGAAAAAAAATAGATTGCACGTGAATGGAAAACAGCATGCAGGATGGAACAGAAAAAGGCAGGCTCAAATCAGAGAATGAAGGACAACATAGCAGAGTTCTGCTGAGCCAAACCAACACCACATGCAGCGGAAGGAATTACCTTTTTGCTCTCGGGCTGAGGAGGACCTTCTTCTTTTCCATCTGGTTTGAGAGTGATGGGTAGCTTGGACTCGACCGGAGTCATATCATATGGGTAGCTTGGACTCGACCGGAGTCATCATATCTGCAAGACCCATAGGTGCTAATCGAAAACAGGAGACATAGTTAAACATTAAATGGTTGGCTTCCTGCTGTCTGAAATTGATGAGGAGAGAAAAAAATGCCCCCCTCAATGGTAGCATATGGATATCTACAGTTCTTGTATTACCCAGCAATTAGGTTTGAATATGTGTTATATGTGCAATAGGTGAAAAAAGTTTTCCAATCAGTGTACCATCAATGCCACTTTATAAACCTGAAATACATTTTAAGGTAATCTTTTTGCAAATTATTACACAATTCACTTTAACTGCTTAAAGCAACATAAACTCAAATTATTTATTTCTACAACATGGGGGCTGGGAAATCTCATTTTCACCTCCCCCACTATTTCCTCTTTCCTTTTCCTGAAAGCCTCCATAGCCTCTCCCCTTTCCCCACATCCTTCTCTTCCCCACCACCAGCCAACTTACCTTTATCTGCCCCCCTCACTTTCCCCTCCTCTGCTACCCCTGGCAGCCTCTTCCTGGGAAAAGTCTGGCCAAGTCAAGTGGTGCCAGCTGTCAGGCCCAGTTGTACATGGGGAAGCTGTAAGGACTTGCTTGGGGCATTTCTCTCTGTATCCCCCTCCTCACCGTATTTCCTCTTCCATACCCCACCTTTCTCCACAATGGGGACCCAAAGCAGCTTACATCATTATCTTCCATTTTAGCTTCACAACAACCCTGTGACATAGGTTAGGTTGAGAGTGTGTGACTAGCCCAAGGTGACCCAAGCAGGATTCCATGGCAGGGTGGGGATTTGAATCTGGGTCTCTCAGAACCTAGTCTAACCACCACATTGGTTTTTGTGGGGTGACTGCTGTTGAACAGTAGTGAAGAGCCAGACCCAGGTGAGTCACTGAACTCAAATGGAGGGTCTCAAGTCACCTAGTGGTAGCAGCCAGGCCTAGCCCTGATTCTCCTGTAAAGACCAAAACAGCCCTGGAAAGGGCCCTGCCCCTCCCCTTTCCCTGTCTTTTACGGACAGAAACCAAGGCTTTAATTGGCCCTACTGTTCTGGTTACCCAGCAATATCCACTGAGGTAATTTGTTTTTTTAAAAGCTGTAAGTGTTGCTTCTATTATTTTGGGGTTTTTTAAAACACCCCTGACATGTATTAAGATTTCAGACCTTTCTGAAAACGTTGAGCTCTGCTCAAATATGTAGAAACATCTGTCTTCTCTGTTCATGCTCTAGTCTCAGGATTTAAGTACCCACAGCTTTCGCCACATTGAGAATTAGATGTTTTGATGATATACAGGGTTGCCATACCTGGCCTGGCAACCTGTAAGAAATGGGGGGCAGCCTTTGGCGACAGCATAACATCTCTTCCATGAAAAACCCATATGTGACATCACACCTCTCTAGGAATTAGTAGAAACTCTACCATAGATTCCCAGAGTGGCATGATGTCACTTATAGGTTTTCCCAGGAAGTGACATCACACTGTTGATTAAAAAAAAACCCCCTCCTGATTCCTTTCAGAACATCAGCAGGGAAGAGAGGCTGGAAGTGGGGGATCCTCCCCATTAGGGGGCTGGCAACCCTAATGACATATGCATGACCCATTCCTGCCTCCACCTCCCTGTTCGTGTCCCCATTGCTGGCTCACACAGATGTGACTTTGTGCTCTGAACCGAACTCTTGCAGCCACGCATCTCGTTACAGCACAGATCTATGGGCCAATAATTCAGATATTACTTTATTAGTGGAGAGAGGTGTGAATGATTCTCATACCAGCTATTCCAGCTAATAAATTAAGGTCTGAATTTGACCTTATGATCTGTTATCTGAAGCACAATGAAATCCTTATTATTATGCAGTAAAACATCCCATAATATTTCTCTGAACCTCTTAAATTATCAAATCCCAGGCCTGCAACATACTCAATTGCAGCTACACTCTTCCCCTTGTAAATTATTCTGTAGAGCTGCTCTGTAGTTGACGTGGGCATTCAACTCTTTTCCTTCTTAAAAGAGTCAGCTGGGAACACAGCTGAATAGATAATTCTCAGTCAAGGTAACACTTTTGTAACACTCTACAAATGTGTGCCAAAGAAAATGCTCTCTTTTTTTTTTAGTGTTTTGAAGGTGTGAGAACTATATTACAGAACTATTGTTCATCTTTCCTTGAATTCCCAGTTCACAATAACGGCAAAAAGAAGTAGCCAGATTAAATATATTCAATGTGTTTACTATGCACACACCTATATACATATATAAACAGTATGAGATTTTTGCTCTAAATTCCAAAACACAGTTTTCATTGCATAATTTTTTGTTTTAATTTTTAAAAGTCTAGCTCATCACTTATCAATGGCCTTAAGCCATGTCACAATACTTGCAGATCAGGTTCAAGTACTACCATAAATTTATTTTCAGTCTTCTCTGTCACATTTTGTTTATTTCTGCTTCTATCTCTTGTACCACATCCATAATGGCCTTCCAAACTAAAGACCTGCCTGCTGAAGTTGCTAGGCTATGATGGACTATATTATATGTTGCTGCTTTTGTCTCACATCTTCTTAATTATTTTGAAGGTTTTTGATTTTATGTTTTTAAATTGTATTGTGAACCACCTTGGGAATGAGCTTCGGTTGAAAGATGGTTAAAGACACTACCCTAAATAAATAACTATGCATACCTATATCTTCATCTATATTTGTATACAGTGATAATACCAAGCGTAAAGTGTAAGTCTATTTTACACAGCGCTTTGTCTTTGATTTGGAAATACTGTCTCACTACGAATTACACTTCACTTTCTTTGTTTCCACCCTGAAATCAAAACAAGTCAACAGACCTCAACACAGATGCATTGTTTTGGGGGGCAAAAGGAATTATACATTTGCTGTGGAACACACAGACTGTCTGATTAAAACAGCACATCCCTGTAACCACACAAAACAAAGGGAGGGATAAATAAAACTGGATGGCAAACGGTGACAGATATCAGAGAATTATAAAACATCAGCCTGATGGGTTATTGGGCTGCTTTGCTTCTCTGCACGGCCGCAGCCTTCTTCTCGGCAGCCAACATGTGGGAGAACAAGCCAAAGGGGAAGGGGGGGGGGGAGTTTTAAAAACACTTCACAGATTGCCCACTACAAAATGATTATTGCACATATTCATGTATTACTATGTTTTTGAAAATAATTAGTTTTAATTACAGCAGTGAGAGAGCGAGCAAGACTCTGGCGAATAAGCTGGCAAGCTTCATGGTGCTAATTCGCTAATATCTTTAGCATCACATCACTGCAGGTTGGGAGAATGGCTCTGCCAAAAAACCTACCCAGCCATGTGCCATATGAGTTTATAGCTAACTACATACTCAGTACTCATCCCTGAACTGCCAGAGGTTTCTAAGGGCTCGTTCTTGTGCTGTTATGGTGCATTTGCAGCCCAATCAAGCCTTAAAAGTCATCATCGTGCAGAATTATTACTTAGCTTTTTAAAAAATACCACTTAAGAGTCTTAGTTACACTAAGTATAGGAAGAAATGTCCTTTTCCAGATAATGTAATGATGAGTGAGAAAAGTTTATTGGGATCAGCTAAACATTCTAGTCTATGAATCAATGTAAACACACTGCTAAGGAATTAAGACACAAGGCCACTTGAATTGCAACCCTGAACTAATTTACATGTTCCATGGATGGTCTCTGGAGTTGAATCAGAAGGGCATTTAGTGACTGGCACATATTTCATATACAAATGAGACTGCTCTGTTGCTAGTATAAGTGTTTTGCCAATTTACTTGCAGCAGGTTTGCATGAAGCCACCATAGACTCGAGTGTTGTTGTTTGGACAGGTGGCGTATTATTCAAGTGGCCTCTGCTCACATTGTAAAATGAGGGTGGAAATAAGCACTTGGGGGGAAAAGCTGAGTAATTAGTTATGACCCACAGCAAGAATGCTCATAAATATTTTTTTTCAAGAATCACATGTGATATTGATTTTTTGATATGTGTTCTTTTTTCTTGCCTTGACCCAGCAACAGCATGTGTTATATTTATTTATTTATTCATTTATTTATTTTTAACATTTTTACCCCGCCCTCCCCGCAAGCGGGCTCAGGGCGGCTTACAAGAGGGCATAAGCCCATGCATAAAAACAAGATAAAACAATAAAACCATTAAATAACAACAAAAACAAGAATAAAGTGCTCCATGAAAACAAGATGGTCTCTGAATAATTTCATGATAGTATCTATGTGTATTGCTAATGTGGCTTCTGATGCACACCTCCATCTGCATTATGGTAGTCATGACTAGTTGCCCATTACTATAGCTGGACTGAGATAACTGTGTTATCTAGAGAGGGAAGTGTCACGACATTTTCTAAACAGATGATAGGAAAGCCTTTCTCCATCCTTTATTTCAGCCTGTCATATGAATATTCTCAAGTGATTTGCAGCTGGCACCCCTTTGCTTTCTAGCCCAATTGACATTATTTTGACTACCTTTCCCAAAAAGTGGAAGAACACCATTGCCCCAAACTGTGGTAAATTAAGGCAAGCATGTATGTACACAGACACTCATGTATCCATTACTTTTCTTCCATGATACTAATGATTTCCTCCCACACAGTGCTGACCATAAGATTTTTAAATATTAAAAGCAGTTAACAGTGAAAGCTGTGACTAAAAAAGTATTGCTATGTTGACTGAATAGATTCCAGGAACTAGCCTCAGGCTTTATTATCAGAAGTTGAAAGTAAGAATAATTGTAAAGAGAAAATACAGGTCAAGGTCCTGCAGCAGTTGTTCTGCTCCAAATTTAGAACACTCAAAGGCAAAGACAATGAGAACTGAACTGTGGTCTGTTATGATGATGATGATGATAAAGAAGAAAAATTTTCACAGTCAAATATTTGACTGGTGGATGGTGTTCTGCAATTCGAGATCTAGCCAAGTTCCTGGGAACTGCAGATATATCTTCACAGAATTCTTGCTGTTCCAAGCAACACTGTCTTCTGCAACTGAGCTGGTATTATTTGCTCAATG